GCGGCGGATGACGTATTAATCGCACGACACAACTAATCGATGATGAAATTCGTTGCCAACGCTTTTAAAAGTCGATTTTTATCGATTTTATCGATTCGTTGTTGCAGCCCTAATTTTGATCCATCAACCATTCTAGTTTATTTTTGCATTTGTAAATCTGACCCCTTCAGGCCATGAAAGTTGTAAGTTTATGCAAAATCACTAAAGTTCTGAAAATGTCTTATCAAGGTTGAAAATGTACTTGGTGATGGGTTAGCAGTAGACAGATTATGATCAATACTTTTAAGATTTTGAAATTATCATCCTGCTGAATTTGTTTTCCTCATTGTAAAGCCCCATATCTACAATTTGCATTAGTTGTCAGGTGTTTCACTCCATTTGTTTATTTTCCACCATGACCAAAGTAAATTCCTAATGCGATTATGATGATGATGAGGAAGATAACAACAATACCAATTATTTTACCACGTAAAACCCAGTTGCATTCATCTTGATTTGAATAATGTGTAGGATTAAGAGGCATGTATCTTTGTCTGTTAGAAAATCCCTGCAGAGGAGTAGATACATTTCCAAAAGGTCCTGTTCCAGTGCTCTCATCAGAAGAGTCCATGTCATTAGTTGAATGCCTCCTTAAATCTCTTAAAAGGTTGACAGCCACTTGATATGTATGATCTGGATCGTAAGCTGATCCCTGACTATCATAATGCCGAGTGATGTAGACTTGGTCAATCTGTCTGTAGCCTTCTCTGACTCTAAATATTATCAGAGCTTTGTTCCATTGAGGACTCCATCTCTTGTCATCAACTACACAAGATGGTAGAGGTTTTGATGTTTCCTTATTAATGTTACCGACTGTGTAGTACTGGTATCTTTCTGGCAGTGGATTCAACAGTCTTTCAAAGTTTCCATAATAATGTGATCCATAGTCTGACTCTGGATCAAAAGTCAGCTCGATGATGTTGTTGTTTTGAATATCAACTTCATTGGCAAACCATTAAAGCAGTGCTAAAATGTTTGTCTGTTTATACAGGGAGCATTTTTCCAGCTCTCTCCTGGAGTTCAAATGTTTGTGTGCGGCGTACACTGAGCTCAGAGTGACCAACACGGCTACACAAAGGCTTGAGATATTTTTCAGCATCTTCATGCCTTTAAAAACCAATTCAAATCATTAGTTTCCATCCACCATGCATTTTATGTTTAGATTCAGTTTCTGTGTCTGTCTTTACATGCATAGTCCCTTGAATTTGTGGCTGTTCAATATATTGCAGATATGGTGTCACACCAATGAATTTTTTATTAATAATGTTGCAAAACAGCAATGAAAAACTGATGGCAAATATTGAATCATCACCTTTTCTTTTCCCAATATCAATAACAAATAAACTACCTCTTAATTCTGCCTAATTTAATTGACAGTTAAACACGTGTGCTTGTTTAAAACCGATATAGAGAGGAAAAAATAAATGTTTATCTACTATAATATTTACCAGAAAAAAAAAAAAGAGTCAAATCTTAATATGAGTCACTAACTGAAGGAGCCTACCTGTATAGTCAGCTACTTTCTGATCACTGATGTGTCTGTGTTAGTATCTGTTATACTTGTTGTAGTAGTTGTCTTATTATTTTTGACGTCATTCTTAGAAAAGAAAACTGAAGATGCCAATGTGGTTGGTTGGACAGTGCAACACTTAAAGAGGAAAACAACATCCAGGAAAGGAATGTGGCTCTGTTCTTTAGGTGCCATTAGATCAATTAGAACATTTCATTACATTTGTTTGTTTCAGTAATGCATCTCTAAGCACATTCTTTAGATTAATAACTGAAAAAATGTGGGCTCCTTGAAAAGTATGTCTGCTTAGAGATTGCTTGCAAATTATCATTTTAAGATAATAAGACTCGATAGAGGTCTGATTATTTCACTTTATGTTTGAATAGTTGGGATGTTTTTCTAAGTGGTTGAGTAAGAAACTGGAATTGTAGGTTTTGTATCCAGTAAATGTAATTATAGCTAACTTTATGGCCATAAAACTGGCAGCAAGGTTCTGTAAAATAATGCTTGGGAGTATTATCTTTTAAAAAAGAAGCTAACATTAGCATAGCCTTTCCTGCAAATGGGTTGGTCAACCTAAGGAGGCTCAAACTGCCCTAATAAAACAACCTGAACCCTATTCTTTACAAAAAAGGATGTGAATTTTAGATTTAATTTTTTTATAGATTAAAGTGTGGAGGAAAAAAATATCTGTTGATGCGAGTCCAGGTATTTAGACTTTCTGTAAAGTAACAAAACATACATTACTTGATTTTCATTGCTAGACTTGCCCATTATGCTACAACAAACAAGTATTCTGCAGTTTAAACTATTTTATAATAGGTTTCTGCTTATACAACGTAAAGAGTTTCCATCACAGTTGTGTTTGAGTTGGAGTTAAAGGAGTGGTAACCAGGAATTAGGCCTTTTTTCCTTGTTAAAATGTGTGTGTTGGTGTTTGGCTTCATTTAAATTTCGTCAGAAAATCAGGTGTTTGAAAGTGGCTTTGTTTCTTTGTGTGGGCTCTTTGCTAAAATTATTAAAAATGTTTTAATACCAACCATTCGCAAAGCATTTCATAGCCCATGCATTTCTTAATGTATGATCATGAGTTCTGTTAAAATCCTAAAACATTCAGAAATGTTTTGTTACTTTTATGTTCAAATTGGGCAAATGCATTAAGCAATTAACTCTGTATTATAGTAGAGAAGGTATTTGTTTGTGTTACAAAAGAGATAATATTTTTTAACCAGATTCTGACTTTATTTCTGTGTTGACAAAAGCACTTCACACAAAAAAGGACAATCACGAAACCCAGTTCATGTGCACATATTTGCACAAAATGTAACTTATCTTGTGGCCGGATCTTCCACACACTGCGCTTCAGCACTTCTGTGCACACATGTATATGCAGAACTTAAACTAGTATTTTGCAATCAGTGAGTGAATGTTTTTACAGCATGAGATTATCTTTACAGAAAATTTAATTTCTGCTTCTTGTAAATGATTATCCTGTACAAAATGATTCAGAACACAGCACAAATAACAGCTTTGTATAAAAAAAAATTCAGTGCAATACGATTGTCTTTTGCTCTTTTGTTGCAGTCTTATTCTTTCCAGCATGGTGTGCGTGCTTTCTCTACATCACCATTAAATATGAATCTTGCTTGGACTCCTGGAGCAATCTTCATACTTGAGTGATACTCAAAAACAAAACTATCTGGACAGTCGCGCAAATCTGCTCTATCAAATTTCTGTGCCCATTGCCACTGCCACCATTCATAGTTTCTTGTACCTTTATCTTCAGAGCTGTAGAAGCCAACCCAGGAGTCTTTGAATTTCAACATCCAATCAATGAAAGAGGTTTTCACATATAAGCGAGCACAAGCCTTGCCGTCCTTTACAAACAGTTGCAGGCTTGCTTTGTAGCCTGTTATGCTGACTGCTGCTGTGGAGTTCTTAAACTCTGGACCTCTGTTTATCTCCTCACCAAGTCGGGACCAGAAACAACATAGTTTTGTCCTTTCATGAAGCCGGACCTGCAGGCCCTCATTCAGCAGTACCGATGTATCATAAAAGCCTGATCTTGCATTTCCAGTAGACTTATAAGTCAGTGGTTCCTCCCCTACATTATTGCTATAAAGTGCAATCATCATGCCTCCTCTATAATCATCTACTGGAGCTTTTTTCCAAATGATTCTGGCTTTTCCTCCTGAACCTGTCACCACCTTAAGTGTTATATCATCACATTGAATCTGGGGGATTCTAATGGACACCTCAGAGTGTCGGTTAGGTCTAACCTCTGGGATATTGACAACATAATCAGGTTGTGTTTTTCTTTTCGTAGAAGGCTGACGTCTGTTGTCAGGTTGCTGGTTAGAGGAGTACTTCTCCTGGATTACAATGAACAAGAATAAGCCTAGACAAGCAAGGTCACCCCATGAGTTTCTAATCATCCTAAGTTGGGAATAATCAGCATTGCTTCTGAACTGATCTCTGAGGTTTGTCAGGGTGTTCAAGTCATTTTCATTCACAGAAAATTGCCGGATCTGTCTCAGAAGCCTAGAAGCAACCTGATATGTATTAACTGGATCATACCTTGTCCCCTGATTATCAGATGTCTCAAAATGCTGGGTGATGTAAACTCTATCTATTACGTTCCTAACTTGCCGACCCACATTCTGCTCCCTGACTCTAAATATGATCCGATCCCTGTTTCTGCCTTCATATTCAATTCGTGGATGAACCACATAAGGTGGGAGATCAGACGACGCCTCTTGATTGAGATTACCCACAGTGAAATATCGATATCTGATGTTTCCAAGAGGTAATTGATCCAACATCCTCTCGTAGTTTCCATAGTGATGTGATCCATAATCGCCTTGATCTGGGTTGAAGGTTAGGCTTATGATGTTGTTATTGTCAATGTTGACTTCGTTGGCAAACCAGTGCAGGAGCAAAAGACTGTGTTTGGGCACAGTTGAACCAAAGTTGAGTTTTTTAAGGTCATTGATGTTCTGAAGCACTTGCACCGCTGATGCCGAGCTCAAGATCAGTAGTAGAGCCAAACATGAACTCTGAAATCCTCCTGTGAACTTCATCCTGTGAAAACATTTAAATTTTTAAAAATCTGGATTAAGTAACCAAATTTAAATAATCAAATGATCTTGCTGTAGCAGTGGTATCTATTCTGTTACTTTATTTATATAATCTAAAAAATACAGTAATCTTACAGTAAACAGTAATCTTACAAGATAAGACATTTCTCAGACAAAAGAAATACTATTTTCAAAGTTTCAATGTGTTTTTCTTTGCATTAATTGCATAGAAAAAGATGTTAATTGTATAGGTATTTGAAAATAAAAATTTCTAAACTTGATGATTTGAAGAAAAAAAAACAGGATTTTTATTTGTGTCTTGCAGAAATAGTGATGCAATCCAATAATATTCCTCTTTCAATTCAGCATTTTGTTTAAAAAATTTTGCCCTGTCAAAGAAAGAGCCTCTTGTTAGAAGATAAAATTCTCGTTTTTAACAAAAGGATCAATAAGTTCAATCAACTATAGATCAATTTATAAATCATAAAATTGCACTTACCAGTTAGACATAAACAAAATGTTGCTTAATCTACACCATAAAGGACGGGCTATTCCAATGGAATCAAATGTTTGGTATATCTTTAGAGTTACAGTATTTAAGAGTATTGCCTCTTCTAAAATAACAAATTTTTTCCTTAATAAAATAAGAGCTCTTACTTACACAGAGCTGTTTACGATCTCCGTCTGAGCTCTGTGTTTGTGTGCAGCTGATGTGACTTCCTCTTGAGTTTCTGTTTCCTGGCTAATGAAACCAGATCTTAGGTTTTAGATGAAAGCTGTAATGGGAAATGTGGCAATATTGCTTGTTTAGGAGATCGGGCTGCTTTAAAGCCACACCCCTGTGTTTTCCAAAGGTTTGCTCTTAGACCTTTGAAATGATTAACTATGAATCACATGGTTTTATCAGATATTCAAATATCATTCTTCTCATTGGATTAGATCAACGTTATGCTGAAGTTTACCGATTCCCCCACTTTTACTGATTGTAGAGTTTGGCTGGTGCGTTATTTGTTTTTGAGTCGGGAAGGGGAGGTTGATGTGGGCGGGAATTCATAAAGCTCTTTGCAGCCTCTTTTACAGTTTACAGCCCTGCAGCAACTCCTCTAGATGTCAGCAGGGGGTGCTCTCACACAGGTCGCTTTTCTGATCCCTTTAGGGTATTTAACTTGTCAATGGCAATCATGCACAGTTTAAAACAGACAAAGGATCCTCTTTCTGAAACCTAGTTCATGTTTATAGCCTTTTTTTAGTTTTGAAGTTGATCAATCATTTTCTTTTGACTGGTCCCTCTTAAAATACTCTAAAATGAAGAAGAACTTTTGAATTTCACAAAAAATGAAGGCATGTAATGCCTCCAGAACAACACAAACAGAAACTTGGTCTTCTGCATTACCATCACTAATTTCTAAATGTTTTACCCAAATTTTAAACCCAAACAGTTAACTGGTTAATTTGGGATGATACTGTTTTGTTTTGTTTGTTTTTTTTTCTCAAGCAGAAACAAGTTCAGCCTTTTTAGGCTGTTAGGTAGGTTAGACACACAAATACACTGAGATACAGGCGCAGTTAAATTTCAGTTAATTTCCTGAATGGAGGCTAGCTATTCCCCTGGGGCAGGGCAGAAAAAGTGTAAAATAACACACACAAAGGAAATATTTAGTTTCTCTGTCATCACCACCCACAGGTTTCACATGGGGAGCCCCAGAAAAACATCCATGAGATGAGTGTCATGTAGTAAAACTGTTTAGAAAATGTGCCTCTCATATACTCAATGCAATGTCAATAATATAATTAGTAATGATATAATATAGTAATAATATAGTCTATAAAATAGCAATAATCAACATGTCAACATGCTATGTAGAGCTGATCAATCCAAACCAAAAATCTCTCCTTCATGAAAGCAGAGAGCCAGTGTTAAAGGGAGAAGTACAGTCTGCTACACGTTTTGTGAACACAAAGCAAACATGGAGAAGGTAAGATGAATTCTGTTGCAAGTTGAAAAACTGATGCCAATAATCCTGATTATACCATCTTATTTTAAAACATGAAGGTGGCTCAAGCATAACACGGCATTGCTTTTCTTTTGAAAGGATAGTGCGACTGGTCAGAGTTGATATCAAAATGGAGACGAATATTGGACTGGTTTGAAAGCGAAAAAAGGTTAGAGGCGCCAACAGTCTATAGATTTGGGTGAAGGTTCACCTTCTTGCAGGGAAACAACCCAAAAGCTACAGTCAGAACCACAATGAGATTGGATTTAAACACAGATTCCCAGTTTAGGTTTGGAGCTAAATCCTAATGATGGTCTGTAGCTAGAATAAATTCACATTTAGAAGCTCTTGATTGAATTTATTTGGACATCGGCTATTCTTGCAAAGAGGAAATAACAAAGCTTTCAGTCCATAGATGTGAATTACCCCAAAGTACATGTAATTGCAAACAAATTTGCTTCTGCACATTATTGACTAGCCTTTGATAAATACAAATGCATGTAGCAGTTTTTTTTTTCTTTGAAGAAAATGTTAACATGTAATTTCCATGTCTCTTTGATGAACTAATTTATGTTGGTCTACAACAAAACCCTCAAATAGAACAGTATTATTTTAGAGGGACAAAATTTGAAAAGTGAGTTGCTAGGGATTGAAAATATAAACAGAAACAGCCAGAGCCAGAACATGCCTTGATTTTCCTGCACAGGAAAACAGAACTGCTTGTGTGAAAGGCCTTGAACACTGCAATGAGCTCTGTTAGGGGTCTGCCAGGCAGTCCTATGCTCTGCCTGCCAACACATGACAACATCTTGGCTCAGACATGTCCAAACTCATCAACCCATGACACTGACTTTCTGTTACTGTATCCTTTTGCCCTCAGAATGGGGATTTTAAGTCCTTAAACAGAAAATTCACACCAGAAGAGTCTTTAACAAGGAGTGCGCAAGTTTTGGGTTGGACAAAGGACAAATCGCTCTCTCTGCATGCATGCAGATTCACACAGAAGACTGCAATTCAACGGTTTAATTGAACATATTTGGAGCATAAAATAATCTGTCAATATTTGCAGGCTTTTGTTTAATCCTGATGTAACTGGACCGAGTTGTTGTGACTTTAACAACAGGGTCAAATTGAGGCTGTGATATAAGACTAGTATTTAAAACAGAGTCTACATTAGAGTCGGGACCATAAGCCACTTCATTTTGGGTCGATATTGTTGTGCATCAACCGATGGATGTGTTAACCGATTCATTCATGCTTTCAACAGCCATGCCTTGTGATCACAAAAAGCACATGCTTTACCGCTCTGTTTCCTTTTAATAGTTAATGTTTTGATTTGGTAATAGTTTTTGTTGGTTTAACTAAAACTGTTGTGATATTTATTAATAAAGTAAGTGGAAGAAGAAAACAATAAATCCTTTAGAAATCAGGCCAAAAAAAAAGCAGCACATATATGNATTAAGATAACTAGGATAACTATCGGCATTAAGATAATAGTTTGCATGCACACAAAGATTGCACAAAGCAAGAAATTTCAGTAACAAAAAAAAGGTGCAACTAGTCTTATAATTGAATAGTGCTTATTTAGTCATGTCTGCAGAAAAATTTCTGTCAGAACAAGGTTTCAAAATCCAACAGGATTTCCCCCTTCACTTTTCAAACCTTAAAAGAAGGAGAGCAACTTGTAAAACTGTCAGGTCTCATCTACAGTTTTAGTGCCTCCAGTTAAATGTTTTATTAGTGTGTTTGTGTTAAGGTGAAGTTTAACTTCAAAGAGGAAAGACTAAAAGACAGAGAGCAAAACATTTTTCAAGTAGGGAGGCTTGACTATTGGGAAAATTGAGTTGTTTTCTATATTGTGTAACATCAGGAGCTGGTTGCCGCGGGTGATCTGTTCCAGGTTTCTTACCTGGAACAAATCACCTGTGTTGGTGTTGACTTGTGTGGGCTGTACAGCATACATCAAGCATTCAATGTAGATTAGAGGAGCTTTATTTGTTATAACAGGTATGCACATTCTTCTTTTTAACTATTTTTTTTCAGTTTTTCAGTAGCATGCCGTTTGCAGTGCAAGTACTGCCCTGTAATGTATGTTTCTGCATGTTTAGAACTATGGTTACATTCATACTTATGCATAGTTGGAAGTATAATTATACTTTGGAGGTAAACAGATGTCTCCCTTACCTTTAATTACACAAACATGCACCTAAGGAAATATAATAGTTTGTTCAAACAATGTAAAGTTCCTGTCAGATGACAGAAAGTATGTAGTTCATGTAATTTCTTCCCCCAGCTTTTTATTTTCTTGTTTTCTTTCTGTAAATCTGAATTATTGCTTCCAACAAAATGTTTTCTATTATAAATGTGCAGTGGTGCACATGTTGAAATACAGGGGTATACTTTTAGTTTAAATTAGATCTTTAAATAAAAACAAAAACCAGGAAAAAAAAAAAAATTTCTTATTTAGGTCCGTTTATCTCTCCTTTCTTCTACCTGAAAGCATTCACAGCATTCACTTGATTAAGGCAAGTTAAGGCAGGTGTATTTATGTAGCACATTTGGGTGGCAAGTACGGTTCAACCCCAAATCTTATCACAATATTTTGTGATACTAAGATAATTACGAAAAAAGTGATAATTAAAAAAGCCCATTACTTCTTCACGGTCTTTCTTAGGTATCTGTATGCTTGTGACTGCATACCACAGCCATCATAGCCCCCCAATATTAAATAATATTTTCAAAGAAATCACAAATCAGATTCTTCAGGACACTAGTTGCATAAAGAATTATGATTGTTAACACTAAACATCTTACTGTAACCGCAAGTAATCATGTGTTTTTAAGTTTAAATCCCCAATTAAAAAATTATGAGAAGAACAGGAAAAAAGTAACAATAAAGATTCACCCAGTTTTTAGTTTTTAATCAACATTGATTCTAATTTGTTTGGACAATATATCAGAGTTCTTATTACGACTAGAAACTTATCATGAGAACGATACCATATCATAAATTTCCATCCATAGTAGCAGGTTAATTGAGAGTAGGTCCAGACAATTAGCATACATGAGAGTAGAAGTAAGCATTTTTCCAAACAACAGTAACAGTAAAGACCTGCTTTTAAGGTCATGAAACAATGTAAAGCTGGATTGAAAAATCGACATGCTTATGGTTAGTACAAAGTAAAAAAGAAGTAAAATAAATCGCAATTGTTGATTTTTGGCAGTCTATCAACCCAAATTCACAAAAAACAGAAACTTCATCATACACAGAGAAATACAATACAGTGGCTTAAAGGTAATTAAATAATTAATAAATATTAATAATTAAAGATAATAAAGGGAATAATTAAAATGATTTAAAAAAAAAAAGAAATTCTTGTCCTTGTGCTTGTCTTCTGCTTCATCCAGGACTGGGTTGTATTGGTATCAATCTCAGCAGACATCTCCTTCAGGTCCTCTGCGGAAAGCCTTCAGCATTTTAGGGCCAGCCCAGAGACATAATCCCCCCAGACTGTCTTGGATTATCCCCTGGGCCTCCTCCCAAAGGGACATGTCCCAGTTCCTCAGCCTATGTCTAATAAAGTGATGGGCCATCCTGCATAGAATGCTAGTTTCAGTCACTTGTATCCAGGAGGTTGTTCTTTTGGGCATGGTCCAGATATCATGACCATATTGAGAGCTTTGCCCTTTTCTGCTTTTTCGGATCCTGACATGATCCGAGTCCAACCGCACCGAGTTGCTTCACTCTGACAAGGCTCCCTGTGGAATATGGTGCCAGACGGAAAGCATGGTGAAGCCGTATCTCGGCACTTGTGCACCATTTTCACATCCAGTGGTACCCCAGCTTTAGGGTTTACAGATTTCTGAGCATTTCTACCAGATTAGTGTATCTAAAGAACTAATATTTGGTTCTGAGCATGGAAAGTAGACTCGAACCAGATGGCCTGAAAGGTCTTGGTGGTT